GCTCCCTGCTCAGTAAGGGAGCCTGCTTCTCCCTCTGACCCTCCCCCCTCTCATGTACTCTCTCTCTCTCATTCTCTCTCTCTCAAATAAATAAATAAATCTTTAAAAAAAATATTTTATTTATTTATTTGACAGAGAGAGACACAGAGAAAGAGGGAACACCAGCAGGGGGGAGTGGGAGAGGGAGAGGCAGGCTTCCTGATGAGCAGGGAGCCCGATGCGGGGCTCGATCCCAGGACCCTGAGATCATGACCTGAGCCGAAGGCAGAAGCTTAACTAACAGCTGAGCCACTCAGGCACCCCAGCCTTTCTTATTTTCTGATATGTGTATATCAGATTGTAAATTTTCTCTGAGTACAGCTTTTGCTGATATTTTGTTGTCTTTATTTACTTTTATACATAGATTATATAATCTATATAATTATATGTATCACTTATATTTCTCTTATGATTCCCTTTGTTAATTATGGGTTATGAAGGAGTTTGTTGTCTAATTTCCAAATTTTCAAGCAGTTGGGTTTGGGCTCTTTCTGTAATTGATTTATACCTTACGTACATTTTAGTCATAGACCCTTCTGTGACTGATTTTAATTCTCTCAGGTTTGTTGTGGCCTGCTTTAGGATCTAGAATATGGCCAATTTTGATAAAGATTCTGTGTGTCTGTTAAATAGGATCCAGTCATTGTTAGACATCATGATTATAAATATGTTATTTAGATCAAATTTGTAATTGGCTTCTTTAGATTTTCTGTATTCTTACAGAATTTTTGTCTTGCTCTTCTGTCACTTAGAGAAGTGTATCAATCTCTCACTCGGAGTGTGGCTTTGTACATTTTCCCTTTTAGTTGTGTCTATTTTTGATTAAAATAATTTGAAACTATGTTAAGTGGTGCATATATGTTTAGATTTACTTTTTAGTATTGGTGAATTGATTCTTTTGTCTTATGAAATGCCCTTTATCTCTGGGAACACTTCTTATCATAAAATATACTCTTTCTTTTGGTTAGTTCTTGCATTACCATTTACCTTTCTTTTACTTTTAACCTGTTTCTTTATATTGAAAAATGTGTCTTTGTAAACAGCATAGTGTTTTTGTTTTTACCTAGTCCAAAACTCTTAGTCTTTTTAGAGCTGTTTTTTTTTTTTAAGATTTTATTTATTTATTTGACAGAGAGAGCATAAGCAGGGGGAGTGGCAGGCAGAGGGAGAGGGAGAAGCAGGCTCCTCAAAAGAGCAGGGAACCCGACACGGGGCTCGATCCCAGGACTCTGGGATCATGACCCAAGCCAAAGGCAGACACTTAACCAGCTGAGCCACCCAGGCACCCCTTACTTAGAGTTTTTAATCCATGTATATCTAATGTAATTACTGTTGTACTTGGGCTAATATTTACTATCTTACTATTTGATTTCAATGTGTCCAAACTGTTTTGCATTTCTTTTTCTCTCCAATCTTGTCTTCTTTTGTGTTATACTGTTTCCCTCTGCTTTACCTCATTGTGCATTCTCTTATTGTTTACCCTAGAAATTATGATATGTACCTATGACTTATAATACTCTTAATAAAATCATTATTTTAACCACTACCCCATTAGTGTTCCCTCTGGCCTCCCATCTTTTCCATTTTATTATTATGCATATTAATATACCTGTGTTTTGGGGGTATCTGGATGGCTCAGTTGGTTAAGTGTCTGCCTTCAGCTTAGGTCATGAACTCAGAGTCCTGGGATTAAGCCCCACATCGGGCTCCTCGCTCAGCAAGGAGCCTACTTCTCCCTCTGCCTCTGCCTGCTGCTGCCCCTGCTTGTGCTCTCTCTCTCTCTTACTATCTCTCTCTCCCTGTCAAATAAATAAAATCTTAAAATATACATATATATCTGTGTTTTGTATGTATTTTAAGACATTGTTATTTTTTATTGGTACAGGGGGTATTCGTTTATATTTTCCCACGTATTCACCCTTTTTGTTGCTTTTAAGTACTTTTGAGTTTTCATCTTTGATCATCTTCCTTCTGTCTGAAGAACTCTTGAGTGTAGGTTTGCTGGTGACTGATTTTTTTGTCTGTCTGAAAATGTCTTTTATTTTGCCTTCATTTATGAAGGATGTTTTTGCTGGCTATAGACTTATAATTTTAAAGTTACTTTTCCTTAGCTCTTTAAGTAAGTCATTCTATTGTTTTATAGTTTTCCAAAGTCAGCTCTGAGTGTTAACTGTTGCTCTGTTAAAGGTAAATTATCTCCCCGCCCCCCTCATTGGCTGCTTTTCAGATATTTTTCTTTAGTTTTCAACAATTTAACATTTGCCCAGATGTGATTTTCTTGTATTTATCCTTTTTGGGGTTTGCAGAAGATTTTGAATCTGTAGATTGTTGTCTTCAATTAGTTTTAGAAAATTCTCAGTCATCATATTTTTATATAGTGCCTCTGCCCGTTCTCTTTCTCCCCACCTTTTAAGACTCCAGTTATGCATATCTTAGGCTTTCCCATGTTTTACATGTCTCTTATTTTTTTTAATGTATTTTTCAGTATTGGTCTGTGTGCTTCTGTTTGGATATTTCCTATTACCTTGTTTTTTGTTTTGCCAATCCTGTCTTCTGATAAATCTGATGAGTTCTTAATTCCAATTGTATATTTCAGTTATAAAATTTCCACTTGATTCCAAAATTCTTCATTGTTATTTTCTTGAACATATTTGACATAGTTATATACGGTCTGGTATATTAAGCTCAATAGCTGGATCACCAAAACATTGTAATTTTTTTCTTGGTTTTAATCATATGGTCCTGTCTCCTCTCTCTCTCTCTCTTTTTGAAGATTTTATTTATTTGACACAGAGAGAGAGAGAGAGAGAGAGAGAGTGCACATGAGCCAGGTGGGAAGGGGCAGAAGGAGAAGGAGAAACAGACTCCCCGCTGAGCAGGAGGCCTAATGGGGGACCAGATCCCAGGACCCTGAGATCATGACCTGAGCCAAAGGCTGAACCAACTAAGCCACCCAGGCACCTCATATGGTCCTGTCTCTTGAAATACCTAGTAATTTTTTTTTTTTGAGTGTTAGACATTATGAAATGTTGGTGAGGTTCCAGATGATGTTCTATTACTCCAGAGAAGGTTCACCCTTTCTTCTAATTAGCAGATAAATGGTGGGTCACCTTAATTCCATCAGGGACTGAGCTGAGTTGAGGCAGGGTTACACTTTTGGTAAGTCTCTGCCTCCTTCTGATTTGCCACTGCAACTAGACTGTAGCTATTCAGAGGCTTCTAGCTGAGAGAGTCTGGTATGTTCAGTCCCCCTGGCAGGACTTGAACTCTAATCCATGTTTCTCAGTATGATAAAACTGCCAAAATCTCTACTCTGCTTTTCAGAGGCTTTCTGCTTAGCTTCTTAGCTCCTTCCTCATGCAGCTTCAGAATTTTCAGATTTCTTAAAGGGAAAATTGGCTCTGTGTCAGACTCAATCCTTGGCACTTCCCCTTCTCACCTACGTCTTATTCCTTTGAATTTTGTCTGTAGCCTTGTAAGACCACCAAAGCTGTGCTGGTTTCTAGCACCAGCCTAGTCAAAGCTTGATTCTCAGCCTCTTGCCTTATGCCCATATTCAACAAATGCCTCCTTGGAAAAGCAGCTGCACTTATCAGGCCCCTTTCCATGTTTCCTACTCTTTATATTCTTGGTCTCTCTAGTTCTTTTGCTTCAACAGTTCTTCAGTAGCTTTAAATAGATGTTTTAAAACTGTTTTTCTGTATTTTAAAATTGTTCTTAATGGAAACATTGGTTTAACACAAGCTACTCCTTCATCCTTGGGAGTGATGGTCACATATAGTTTATTGTTATATGTTGGGTACCATGTCCATTATACAGTTAACTCAGTTTCTTTAAGTGACTCTTGGTTTTCTGACTGCATCTTGTATAGGAGGCCTTTGGAAAATATTATGTATCAGTGTAAAAATTGGTTGATTCTTACTCAATAGAAAGGCTTAGTGGTGAGAATATCTGTTACCAGATCAAAATCAGCAATGACTCTGAAACTATTATATAAATAAGTGAAAAAATATTTAATAGTAAAAAACTCAGATGCATACTTATTGGGATATTTGGCCTATTCCTGTGGTTATAATGATTATTTAAGCATGGTTTTATGTTTGGGGCCACTATTTTCTCCTTTTGTTTCCTTAGTATCAGTTTACAGTGTTAGTTCTGTTTATGTCATGATATCAGTTAAAAAAAATTTTTTTAATGTAACAAGAACAGGAAAATATGAGACAAATGTGAGAGATCCTTCCCTCTCCCTCACTCTCAGAATAACTACTGCTATGTATAACTACTTCTCTTCCTCCACTCCCACTCCCTTTCCTCTTTTAGCATTTTGTCTGCTCTCTCCTGTTGATACTTGTTAGTTGAAGAAAATGTAGAAATTGAAATACATAAAAAGAAGAAAATTAAAATCTCTTATAATCCTGTCACCAAGCAATAATCATTTTTTCAGCATTTGGCACGTATCTTTTATGGATTTTCTTTCCTATGTAAAATGGATCATACTGTGATTCTCAGTCCTGCCTCTTCATTAATACCACCTCTAACAAATAAAATACACATATAGATTCTGAAATACACCTCAGTCTTAACCAATTCAGAATCTTTAGGGATATAGAAGAGGATTTTGTTTCAAAAACCAAAAACTTTCCTTCAGAAATTTTAATAACCTTCAGAAATTTTTAAAATGGGAAAAAGGAATATTGTAATATTCTATATTGGAAGCTTTAACTTGTATACAATTCTTTCTCTAATTATTCAATTTTAACTTTTTCCTAGCCATTCCACCCAATGGTGAATCTGGATTGTTCTCGGGATTTTCGGCCATTTCTTTGTGCACTCTATGCTCCTATTTGTATGGAATATGGACGTGTCACACTTCCCTGTCGTAGGCTGTGTCAGCGGGCTTACAGTGAGTGTTCGGAGCTCATGGAGATGTTTGGTGTTCCTTGGCCTGAAGATATGGAATGCAGTAGGTGCGAAAATCATAGATTTTCATGGATCATTACTTAATGCTACAGTATGTTTAAAATTACTTGTCCTCTAGTTCATCAGTTTTAAAAAACTTTTTTTGAAGTATATTAATCTTAATTTTGAACAGCAGTTTCATGGCCTCAGAATTGTTCATTTCCTTAGGAACTTGAAATCACTAAATGAAAAGATAGAAAAGGAAAAAAACATTTCAATGAAGAAATTTTTAAAAGAATTAAAAACAATCAAGACATAAAGTTGATTTTTCTTCCCTCAAAAAATTTATTTTCTGGTTATACAAGTAATGCTATTAGTAATGCAATTAGAAAATATAGAGAAGAAAATAATCATTACCTCAGCATTAAATGTCTTTAATGATGACTTAGTGGAAATTAAATATTTGTATGATTTAGACGTGTTAATGGCTAAAGTAGTTCTGTCAACTCTTTTTTTGTCATGAATTAACAAACCAGAATTAGGAAATGTCAGATACTTTTCAGATCACTTCCAAAATATAGATTATAAGCATTTCCTAAAGATTTGACAATGTTTACTAGACAGTCTTATAGATTTATATGAGAGAATGTTATTGTTAGTAATAATGTATAGAGTAATACTGTATTTCTTATATAATGTACCTTTTTGTATTGTGAAATGTTTCAGAAATAAGGAATAATAAGATAAATGCATATGTACTATTGTTGTCGAACTTTATCCAGTCTTAACATTTTGTGATACTTGGATTAGTCACTTTTTTTTTTTAAAGAAATAATACAGGTAGAGCTGAAAGTTCCTTCCTTGGTACCCATCTTGATTTCATTCCCTTCTTTCCTCCCCAGAGATGAGGTAATAATTATGTTGACTATGTTGTTAATCATTTCTATATTTGTTTTTATACTTTTACTACATAAATACATATCTATAAACAACATTAAAATTTTTTAAATATATGTATATTTATATCTGTAGGTTTGGTTCATTCCTTTTAATTGCTATGTAATGGACTACTATATTAATATTCCATAGTTACTTAGCCATTTCCTATTGATGGTCATTTAAGTTATTTCTGGGTGTTTGCTGTTATCAGTAATGCTGCAAAGAACATTCTATTCTCCTTCATATTAAAATTAATTTTGTCATCTAAAAATAGCCCTTGGAGGTGGGTAAAAAGCAGGTGTTGTTACTCTCATTTGGCATTTGGAAAAACTTCAGAAATAAAACATGTCAGTTTCTTATAGTCAGTTCACTGACATTTTGCTTTCTCGTATTTGTCTACTCTATTTCCCACTTGTTTAACCTGTTTCCTTATCTAGTCCCATGTAACCATTCATCCACTTTATCCCCAAACATGTGGAAGTGTTTACAGTCCCTCTTTTAGAAGTTTGTTAGTTTCTTGGTGTTTATAATAACAGTTATGAATTACTTGGGCAGGAACTCTATTTTATGTTTCTTGTAGCTAACTCCCATTATTTAGTGGTCTTTTTATATTAATAGTTTATATGCAAGTATAGAAATCTCATTATCATCTTCTTTATTTTGATGGGATTAAATCGGTTTTATGTCCTCACTATTGCCTGGCATTGACTAACTATAAAACCTTAAATTCTGGCAAACCGGTCTTTTATAACAACCTTTCATTCTTTACATCTCTCCTATTCTTGTTCCTATTGCTCTTGAACTACCTGGACACTCCAAGACTTTGGGGTTTTTTCCCCCTCTCCTAATATCCCTCTTCCTAATCTCATTTATTTCCTTACTTAAACTTTGTGGTCTGTCACTTGAAATGACGCTCTTGCTAGCAATTTCAACTCATTCCTTCCACTGAACTTGTTCAGATTTCCAACTGGATTGATTCAACCCATTTCTTACAAATTAATTGTGCTATATATTTAAGATGCCAACCGTAGCAGTTCTGTTTGCTGTTTGTCTTTGGCAAATTTCCAGATTGGTTGACAGAATAATCTCTGTTTATTCCTCTCAGCACCTCTGTCAAATCTGTATCACTCACTTCAAACCCATATTTCACCTTTATGCTATATTTCATACTAATTCTCCTCAACCTCAGCTTGCCCTCTTTTCATGAAAATCATTTAAGCCGTCATATGTGAACTGTTCTGGTCTGCTATTTCTCAGACCAATTATTCTTAATTTCTTTTTTTGGATCCTCTTCCTCTTACTACCCCTTGAGTATTGGTGCTTTCCAGAGTTCTGTTCCTATTCTTTTTGATTCTACGTGCTTTCCCAGGATGATCTCATCTCACTCATTTTAACTCTTACTCATCTGCTGCTGACTCCTACACCTAAATCTATAGCTTTGACATCTTGCTGAATTCCAAATCTGCATATCTAGCAGCCATTGGAAATCCTAGCCTGCATTTGTCTCAAATACCTCAATTTCAGTATGTCTAACATTGATTTTCCTTTGCTCATTTTTTAATTCTCTATAAGTCATCTTCTGTTCCTCCTTCATTGACTTTAGCTCCCACATCCAATCAGTTGTAAAGTGTATTGCTTTTATCTAACTAATTTCATATCTGTCTCATTCCCACTACCTTAACTAGCTTTATTTCTTTTTAAGATGGGTTTTATTATTTTTAAGTAATCTCTATACCCAACATGGGGCTTGAACTTAGAACCTGGAGAATAAGAGTCACATGTTCTACCAACTCAGCCAGCCAGGTGCCCCTGCCTTATCTGGTTTTAGTTCTGTTATTATTTGAATCAACTAATATCTCTGTTCCCATTTTTGCCCAAGTCTATCTTCTACACTGCTCCTAGTCATCTTTCTAATTACCTGGGTTAGGTCTATATGAATATGTTTATTCAACAATCATTAACTCAACAAATATTAATTGGATGTGTCCTGTGTGCTAGGCATTAGTCTAGATGCTAAAGATACGTAGTGAACAAAATATAGTCTTCGTTCTTATGGAACTAAAATTCTAGTAGTGGTGGGAGAGATAACAAATAAATAGATAATGCCCAGATGGTAATGAATGCTAATAAGAAAAAGAATAGGGTTGGGTGGAAGCAGAAGGACTCTTTTCTATGGCAATATTGGGGAAGGCCTTTTTGATAAAGAGGCATTAGAATAGGGACCCAAACGAAATGAGAAACAAATAATCCAGATATCTAGGGAAGAATAACCTAGGCATAAGAAACAGCAGTTAGTGCAACTGCTCTGAAATGGAAGCATGCTTGGATTAGTCAAAGAACAAGGGAACCAGAGAATCTGGAGCCAAGTAAGTTAGGGAGAATGGAAGGATATCAGATCAGAAAAATACTGGCAGTAGGGTCTTTGTAGCTCTGATATAGAATTTTGATTTGACTCTTAGTGAGGTGGGAAAGCGTTAGAGGACTTAGAGCAGGAGAGACATGATCATGAGCACAGGAGTGGCATGGCTGTAAAGGATCACTGACTGCTGTGTGGAAATGGAGATCAATCGGGAGACACTCTAGAAGTTCAGGGAAGAGGTATTAATATTAGGCTCAAACTGCACAGAGGCAGTGGAGGAAATGAGAAGATGTGTCATAAGGTACAAGGATAGAAATTGCTGGTAGATTGTGAGGTATGTATTAGAGGGAAAGGATTTCAAGGATGACCCCAAGGTTTTTGGCCTGAGCAACTAGAAGAATGGAATTACCACTTATGGAAATGGGGAAACTTAAGGAGTAGAAATCAAGAGTTTGGTTTTTGGAAAGGTTATAGAGTGAAGTATATATATATAGTGAGTAGCAATTGGGTATACAAACACAGCCATAAAAGCATAAAGTATAACTTTGCATGGTTTTAAATTTTATATCACTGTTCTCTCTCTCTCTCTGTCTTCTGCAACATGCCTATCTCTCCATCCTGATCTCCTGTCACAAGTCATGCACACATCATGCTCCAGCAATATTAAACTACCCTCTTCAAATCTCTTTGCCATTGCTTGCATTTCTTGCTAGAATACTGATTGGCATACTACCGGAACTGTCAAGGACTGACTCAAAATCCTGCATTGAGGGTCTTATTTTATGAAGTTTTTCATAATCTCATCCTTTGGAAGAATTAATCCTTTGTATTATTTTTATACTTCATATAGAGTTTGTTTGTTCATATATCCCACTGCCGAATTTTGTATTTACAAGTTTGTATCTCCTTTTAGACTGCAGGATAGAAAGCCTGGTTTTTTGTCTTTTTATGTTTAATGCCTGACATACTGCAGGATATAAACAAATGCTTAAATGCAATAAGTTTCTCTCATTTAGATTTATAATTCCAAGTCCAATGAAGAAAATGGATTATATTAGAAAATAAAAGATTAATCAGCTACAGCATAAGGTTATGCATGTTTTTGTCAAACTTAATAAACGGTGGTTTCTTGGAAACTATTTGACGCATATAAACTATTAGACATCTAGTTAGTGGGTGTCTGAAGGCTTAGGAACTGATACAGGCAAGAAAATTGAAGATGCAAGAAGTTCATGAGAATGGTATCCTTACTCGTGTCTGCACCACAAACCTGTTTTGTCCTGCAGCTGTGACACTTTCTCAAGTCTGCAGATCTTGTCCCTTCGGAAACTTGCTAAAATGCAAATTTCTGGGCCTAACACAGGTGTACTGTAATATGATTTGTGGTGGTGGGAAGCAAGAATTTTCTTATTTATTTATTTATTTTAAAGATTTTATTATTTATTAGAGCAAGAGAGAGAGAGCACAAACAAGAGGACAGAGGGAGAGGGAGAAGCAGGTTCCCTGCTGAGCAGGGAGCCCAACACAGGGCTCAATCCCAGGACCCTGGGATCATGACCTGAGCTCAAGGTAGATGCTTAACTGACTGAGCCACCCAGGTGCCCCAAGAATTTTTATTTTTATTTATTTTTTTAAAAGATTTTATTTATTTATTTGAGAGAGTGAGTGAGAGAGAGAGAGCACAAGTGAGGGGGAGCAGAGAGAGAGGGAGAAGCAGACTCCCCGCTGAGCAGGGAGCCCGACTTGGGGCTTGATCCCAGGACTCCTGGATCATGACCTAAGCCGAAGGCAAGCACTTAACCAACTGAGCCACCCAGGTGCCCCTGAACTTTTATTTTTCTTTATTTTTCTTTTTTTTTTTTTTTAAAGATTTTTATTTATTTATTGAGAGAGAGAATGGTAGAGAGAGAGCATGAGAGGGAAGAAGGTCAGAGGGAGAAGCAGCCTCCCCACTGAGCAGGGAACCCGGTACGGGACTCGATCCCGGGACTCCAGGATCATGACCTGAGCCGAAGGCAGTCGCTTAACCAACTGAGCCACCCAGGCACCCTGAACTTTTATTTTTAAAACAATATTAAGTTTTTCTTACGTACACCAAAGTTTGAGAATAACTGAGTCAGAGAATGTAATGGATTGGAGAGAAATTAGGGGTGGTAAGAAAGAAGTAGTTCACATTAGAGACCTTAGAAGGATTGTAATTAATCAATATGCTAAGCAGGGAGCAAATATAAAATGGGAAGAAAAGATCTAAAAACTCAGCCACTTATAAGGATTTTTATTGCTAATGTAATTCAAAGCACCTTGGGCTATGCATTTGGGAAAGATTTTTTAACATTTCTGCTTGAGAAAGTTCCACTGAATCTAGGGTAACTGTAGTTAAAGATTGGGGAAAAGCTACTCTTTTGTTAGAGCTATGTATTCATTTCTTTTATAATAATGTATGTTTATATTTTAAAATCTTATTTTAAAGTGTGTGTCTTAAATATTCTCTGTATACATTGTTACTTATTGATGGCTATTTTAGACTATTTTAATTAAAAGAATACCCTTTGGGGCGCCTGGCTAGCTCAGTTAGAAGAGCACGCAACTCTTGTTCTTAGGAATTGTGAGTTCAAGCCCCATGTTGGGAGTAGAAATTACTAAAAAAAATAAATAAACTTAAAAAAAATTAGTTTTGGCTTTTTGAAGCCAAAACTAAGTTAAGTATAAAACCGTATCATGTTTTGATCATCAGTGGACAGTCTAATTGTATGGCCCATAAACAAGAATCAACATTTACTTTATTCCTACTCAATGTAAGTGTACTCCAAGGATCTTAGAATGAGTAAGGTCATGAGTGCTAAATTTGGAAATCCAAATTGTTAGGTATCAATAGACTTCCCAATAAGTGAAAATGGTTCTCATCTTGTATTTTTTTAGGTTCCCAGATTGTGATGAGCCATATCCTCGACTTGTGGATCTGAATTTAGCTGGTGACCCTACTGAAGGAGCTCCAGTGGCAGTGCAGAGGGACTATGGTTTTTGGTGTCCTCGAGAGTTGAAAATTGATCCAGATCTTGGTTATTCTTTTTTACACGTGCGTGATTGTTCACCTCCTTGTCCAAATATGTACTTTAGGAGAGAAGAACTTTCATTTGCTCGATACTTCATAGGATTGATTTCAATCATTTGCCTCTCTGCCACGTTGTTTACTTTTTTAACTTTTTTGATTGATGTCACAAGATTCCGTTATCCTGAAAGACCTATTATATTTTATGCTGTCTGCTACATGATGGTATCATTAATTTTCTTCATTGGGTTTTTGCTTGAGGACCGAGTAGCCTGCAATGCATCTAGCCCTGCACAGTATAAGGCTTCCACAGTGACACAAGGATCTCATAATAAAGCCTGTACCATGCTTTTTATGGTACTCTATTTTTTTACTATGGCTGGCAGTGTTTGGTGGGTAATTCTTACCATCACATGGTTCTTGGCAGCTGTGCCAAAGTGGGGTAGTGAAGCTATTGAGAAGAAAGCATTGCTATTTCACGCCAGTGCATGGGGCATCCCTGGAACTCTAACCATCATCCTTTTAGCGATGAATAAAATTGAAGGTGACAATATCAGTGGCGTGTGTTTTGTTGGCCTCTACGATGTTGATGCATTGAGATATTTTGTTCTTGCTCCCCTCTGCCTGTATGTGGTAGTTGGAGTTTCTCTCCTCTTAGCTGGCATTATATCCCTAAACAGAGTTCGAATTGAAATTCCATTAGAAAAGGAGAACCAAGATAAGTTGGTGAAGTTTATGATCCGGATTGGTGTTTTCAGCATTCTTTATCTCGTACCACTCTTGGTTGTAATTGGATGCTACTTTTATGAACAAGCTTACCGTGGCATCTGGGAAACAACATGGATACAAGAACGCTGCAGAGAATATCACATTCCATGTCCGTATCAGGTAAGGGAAACCTTGTTCTAAATTTCAGAATGTGTGATAGTGAAAAGAAGGCATATTACTGTGAAGATCTCATCTTAGCTAGTTTTTTAAAAAAAACTTTATGAACCTGTACATTAAAATTTTAAAGATAATGAACAAATGTATTGTAGAAAGAATGTAATATACATGTTTCTATAAACCTCTTCCATTTAAAAGATGACTTTTACAAGTCTAAGCTATGGGCTTTTAAGCAATTTACTTCCATTGTCACAGAACAGTTTGGGGATTGTTTAGAAGTCTACAGGTTTGAGGGTGAGAAGCTCTTTACCAACTGATAAAAATGCACTGTCTTTTGTGAAAATCTTACTGATAGAAGAGGAATTGTTTTAACTGTTTTGCAAAAGTAATAGAATGCAGTTGTACAAACTAGTTCATCTCTTAATTGGTCTTGGTTTTTCCTTTTGCATGCTGAATATTTTATGATTTACCTTTGAATTTAAACAGGTCAGATAATCATAGTGACAGAATCATAGAATCTTAGGTCTAGAAAGAACTTTAGAGGTAATTTATTCAAGTTTCCTCGTAATTTAGAGTTCTTAAACATCTCTCTCGTGGGGCTTAGAAATGTTAAGTGACTTGCTTGTATTCAAACTGGGATTTAGTGTTAGGAGAGGAATGTAGCAAGGAAAGTAGTTCAGAATAGTTGATGCTAAGTATTTCTCTATCTTAAAACCTTTTCTAGAACCTACACCCCTAGCTATCATCCTCTCTTCCTTTTAAGACAAGTTTTCTCGAAAGAACAGTCTCCATTGCTGTCTTCTGTTCACGTTCCAGGTTAGCTGTTAAAAGGGCACCAGTCATCCTTTCATCTCCCCTGACTGTTAAGATTTAATTACCTTTTTTAAAGTATTTATGTATTATAGGTAATTCTTGTTTGTCTCTTTCCCCTGCTAGACAGTGAACTCTTTGAAAGCAAGAACTTCTTTTTCATATTTTCATATTTTTGGAATACATATTCTATAGGTTAGTAGATGATAACATTGAGAATGTGGCTATGTAGATGGAGAAAAGACATTTTTAAGAAATGGTAGGGATGCCTGAGTGGCTCAGTTGGTTGAGCGTTTGACTCTTGGTTTTGGCTCAGATCATGAATTCAGGGTTGAGATTGAGCCCCCTGTGGGCTCTGTGCTCAGCGGGGTATCTCCTTGAGATTCTCTCCCTCTCTCTCCTCTGCCCCTACCCCACACCCCTCACTCACTCTCACTCTCTCTCTCCCTAAAATAAATAAATCTTAAAAAAAAAAAAAAAAGAAATGGTTACAGTGGTACCATGGACGAGGAGTATGTGATTAGCACATAATCAATGCTGATAAATATCGTTTTTAAAGATTTTTTTTATTTATTCATCTGAGACACAGAGATACACAGAGAGAGAGAGAGAAAGAGAGAGAGAGAGCATGAGTAGGGAGAGAGGCAGAGGCAGAGGGAGAAGCAGGCTCCCCGCTGAGCCAGGAGCCCATTGTGGGGCTCGATCCCAGGACCCTGGGATCATGACCTGAGCTTAAGGCAGACGCTTAACCATCTGAGGCACGCAGGCGCCCCAGTGCTGATAAATATTTAATGGCTGAGAATGCCAATTTATTATTGTATAAATATTAGCTATGGGCTTTTAAAAAACAACTTATATTGAGAGACCAGAAAAAAATGAATGATTGAAATTGAATTTCTTGACAGAATGACTTACTAAAAACTCTTAATGTGAGTTTTCAGACCTGAAGCTAAGTAATGGAATTTTGCCTCTAATGAGAGAGAAAGAGATGGTTGAATTACATCATATGCTTCTTTATATAAGTTATCTAAGATTCCAGATATATATTAGGACTACTGAAAAATAAGTTTGATTATGAAATAACGATCTAAAAAATACCAAACCTCAAATATATAAATTGATAAATTAGAGTAGTTGGGATGCCACTATTTTCAGGACATTCCTAGAATTCTTTCAGCATCTTTAGAACCAGTGTGAGCTGCACAGAAATATGTATGTGTGTATATGCATTTTTTTTGTGGTCATGGGTTAAAAAATGTTTTTAATTTCCAACATACAGAAATAACATTGGAAATGAGTTATTTACGATATACTGAAAAGAATAGAGAATGACATTATAACAATAACATGGTAATTAAGCTGTAAACTCTGGAGCACAAATCCTGGCTTCATATCTTACTTTCACTATTCACTAACTTTATATTCTTAGGCTGGCTTCACCTCTCTGCTTTAGTTCCTCATCTGTAAAATGAGTAATAGAATCTAATAGTAATAAAATAATAATAGATAGTATTAGAAATAAGCAGACTACTTCCTCAGGTTGTTCTTAGGAGTATACATGCATGTGTTTAGAAGAGTGCCTACTACATAATAAGTAGATGTTAGCTCTCATTCATTTTCTTCATTTATTATTGTTCCTGCTGTTGTTTACATATATACATACGAGATTTTAAAAACCATCCAGTACTGAGCTTTACCAAATGCCATATTTGCTTCAGACTTTCATTTATTTATTTTAAATTTTTAAGTAAGCTCTACACCCAACGTGGGGCTTGAACTCACTACCCTGAGATCAAGAGTCTCACACTCTAATGACTGAGCTGGCCAGGTGCCCCTTGCTTCAGACTTTTAAAAGAAATCTCTACAGATTTGGCTGAAGCTCCCTATGTACCCTTCCCCAGTTCTGTTCCTCCTACTCTCTGCCCAGAGGTAACCATCATCCTGAATTTGGAATATACCATTCCCATGAAAGTCTATACAACCTACCAATATGTATGTAACTGCGGAAAAACTGTTTTACAAAAATATGTAATACAATGATACCATACTATACATGTTTCTGTAACTTGATTTTTTAACTTAACATTTAGTTTTTGAGATGTATTTATATTAATGCTGTAGCTCTAGTCCATTTTTATTTATTATTAAGATTTTATTTATTTGAGAAAGAGAGCACGACCTGGGGGGGAGGGCAGAGGGAAAGGGAGAAGTAGACTTCCTGCAGAGCAGGGAGCCCAATGCGGCTCCATCGCGGGACCCTGGGATCATGACCTAAGCCAAAGGCAGATGCTTAACCTACTGAGACACCTAGGGGCCCCTCTAGTTCATTTTTAAAAATGTGTTTCTTTTTAAGGAAGTTTATATTATAAAATGTTTCAAATATACAGAAGTATAGTAAATAAGGTGGCAACCACCTGTGCACTCATATCCAAACTGCCTTGAAATCCTAACATTATATCATATCTGTCTTTCTGTTTTCCTGGCTGGCTGGCTCACTATCATTAAACACACAGCTGATGCCTGCCTCTGTTCCCCTAGGTACTCGCATTCTTTTTCCTCTCCCTCCCCAGAGGTAACCCTTCTCATAAAGATGGTGGTTTTTCATTCTTCCCAATATTTTTATATTGTGGCTGAGTATTTACAGATCTATAAAACTTGGTATTTGCAAGTTTTAAAAATCCATTAAGTGAAATCATTCTGTAGCTTGCTTTTTTTCACTCAGTTTTATGTGTGTACTACTAATTCGTTCATTTCAACTGTCTTAGTCTAATATATAAATATACTGCAGTTTATTCACTCATTCTTTTATGAACATGTATCTTCCAACTTTTTTTGCTGTTATAAACCATTTTGCAGTGAACGTTCTTGTAATACCTATCTTCCTTGCACATGTCCAACAATTTCCATGAGGTATGTACCAGAAAGTGAAATTGTTGCATTGTAAGATATAGACATCATCAAACCAAATGGTTATTTTAATTTACACTCACAATTGAGTATAAATTTCCCATTTTTCCCCATCATGGTGTTCTCAGGCTTTTAAGTTTTTGCCAGCCTTTAAAACGGTATCTCAATCCCATAGTAATTTTTATTCCCCTTTGAAGGTTGAACATGTTTTCATAGGTTTATTGGCCATTTGGGGTTTCTCTTCTGTGATTTCACTCATTTGCTACTTTGTCCATTGTTCTGTTAGGTTATTTGCTTTAGTTTATTTATTTATTTTTTAAAGATTTATTTATTAATTTGAGAGAGTGAGTGGGTGTGAGCAGGGGGGAGGGGCCGAGAGAGAGAGAATCTGAAGCAGATTCTGTGCTGAGTGCAGAGCCCGATGTAGGGTTCCATCCCAGGACCCGAGGTCATGACCCGAGCCCCAAGAGTCAGATGCTTAACCACCTGAGCCACCCAGGTGCCCCTAGCAATTTTTAAAATTTGATTTTTTTGACTCATATCTCCAATCCCTTGAAATATATTTTTTCTACATTAGGAAGAACATAATTTTATTTTTCGTATGAATAAGCACTATGCTTTCTGCACCATTTATCAAATAGCCCATCTAAATTGTAATGCAGTCTCTCATATTCAGGTTCCATTTTTAGGCTCTCTCTTTTGTTCCATTGGTCTATTTCTATAACTTTGTGTTAATCCACATTTCCCCTACCTTGCTCTTCAAAATTATGTTAACCATTCTTGCCACTTTTGCCACTTTTGTATATGAATTTTAGAATCAGTTTATCCATGTAAAACAAAACACTGTTGGCATTTTGATTGAAATTATTTTTTATTTTAAGTGAACTTGGGGGAAATTGCCATCATTGTAATACTGAGTTTTAATATTTTTTTGTTTATTTATGTATTTATTCATTTATTTGTTCCTGGCACCTTACAGTTTTTGTTGCAATTGTAAATAGGATCTTTATTATGTTTTTAAATTGATTATTGTTGGTGTACAAGAATGCCATTAATTGAATTCGTATATTGATCTTGAGCATCCCTGCTGAACTCTTTTATTAATTCTAATTGTGTGTAAATTCTTTTATATATTCTTTGTAGAAGTACTTGTCTGCAAATAAGGACAGATTTGTCTTTTTGTTGCTTTCTAGTTATGTTTTAAGATTTTTGCTTCTATACTTGTAAGTAAGATAGATTGTGATAATGTTTTCTTTTCTTGTATTGTCCTTGTCCAGTTTGGGTAT